CTTTCTGATCAGCATCACAACTACAATTATGATAGGAAATACTTCAGGCATTACTATTAAGCCAATAAATTTGACAATTCTTGAAGGAAAAGATGCAGAATTCTTATGCACTCTGGATAACAAAAATATTGACCAGGTTGAGTGGCTCAAAAATGATAAAATCGTATCTGAACAAGAAGGAGGAGAGCAAGCTCAATTTGTGTTGAATATTGTCAATGTGAACCAATCTGACGGTGGCAAGTACCAGTGCCGAGTTTCTTCTCAAGAATCTAATGTTGCTTACTTCAATGTTCTTCCAAAGCAGTCTTGTTATTCAGACAAAACCATTTACTCTGTGGGTGAACAAATGACTGCTGTTTGCATGGTTACAAATGTGAATTGGAATCCAAAATTGGAGTGGATTAAGTGTTCAACATGTGAACAACTAAAAAATGCTACTCATACAAATATTACAAATTCGCTTACAATTGAAGAGAAACACAGCTCAGAAGTGTTTCGATGTACAATGACAGCTGAACGTGAATCTGTAGACAATGATTGTATTCTGCAGTCAATTAAAGTCAGAATTAATGTGACAATCCTTGACTTTGACAATCTTCAAGTTGGAAAGTCTGCAGTTTTCAAATGTAAAACTGGACATGACTGTCCACAATGTGAATATAACTGGAGAATCAACACTACCAATCTACTGGTCAACATCTCACAGCCTGACCTTAACTTGACCATCACTGATGAAATGATTGACAGTGTACTGATATGCTATGTGACATCTTCTAACCAAGTACATGGATCTGCATCATTCATAATTGATGTCAATGATGATGAGGAATATGATAAAAAAGGGGTAAATATAAATGGCAATAAACATAATGGAATTAGCATACTTGTAATAGTAACAGTAAGCTCTCTATTATTAATAGTGGTTATAATTGGTGTGATTCTCTGTTACAAAGGCATATGCAAAGTCTGCTTCACACATACCCAGGAACACTCGGTCACTGCTAAAGTTAACCAATGTATTCAACAAAACCACAAAGTTCTATACCAACACAAAGTACCATTGGCTCAAGATGAACACTTTGCACCAGATATTTATTATTTAATGGATAAGCAGAATACATCAGAAATAGATCAAGGAGAAACATTCTACAACCAAATCCAGGAAGGCAAAACTGAGGGAGGTAAGGAAGATAACGATCAGGATAAACAAGAGTATCAAAATATTCTTACAAACAGTGAATACTCATATGCATATGGACATGTAAATCTACACAAAACTGTAGATGAAAAAATGTGTAATAATGATGCCATCTACGCTAACTCAATAGTTAAACTGCTAAAATAATACACATTACAAATCATATCTGCCACTGCAAGCAAGTTATTCAAGAAACTACTGAAAATGACCCAAAATGCACTGCTGCATAGCAAGATTCCTCTACAGAAATTCTTACTGATAACATTTACTAGTTATTCCAAAGCGAACATTTGGCGGCCATTAAAAGATAGGCTGTGAATGGAAAGGAAGGGTGCATACCACCCCAATGTTGAGATTGTATATGCTATCACCATGTAAATTGTCAACAGTCTACAGGACTTGCCAGCTATCACCAGACATACGGCAAGCATACAGTTCACTAACTTGCACTGCTAACGTTGTGGTCTTCCTCAAGAGTGAAGACTTCTTTAGGTGGAAATAAATATATAAATAGCTTATCAAGTAAATTCTTATGCAAGATTACATTCTTTATGTACAGATGATCAAATGTGAACACTGGCAAAGTAAAGTTTCTTTGGCTGTAAATGTTTATGCAAATAATAATATTCTTAATGTAGTTCTCTGATGACTTCATTATTTTATACACAAATGCTATATGTCTTTTCAGCATTTTTTATTAAATCACCAATAAACTTGTTTGCATTAGTTATTACTGTTAAGATTGCATACTTCTTTCTGTATAGGTGACATTAAACTAATTCTAAAGTGAAATCTGGCAAAAGTAAATGCATAAATTATACTCTTAATATGGTTCTCTGAGGATTTATATTATACACAAATGCTGTGGGCCTCTTCAGCATTTAGTAAATCCCCATTAACTTTTCTGTATTAGTTATACTGTTTTGATGAATTATCAATTTTGTAAATAATATTTACTTACTTTTTAATCTAATACAAAATCATACAAAATATTGTATTTATCAAATATAAATACATACTCATCTAATTAACTATATACTTTTTAGGTCAAAATTTTAATCTTGTATAGCTGTTTATATTTGTCATCCTAAAATTGTAATTAATAAATCTGTATTTATAGTTCCATAAAAATAGTATTTTTATTTATTTATTTATTACAAATTCAACATTAAAGTCAAGAGGGAACCATGGGCC